TTTACACTCCCAACCTTTTGCTGATATCCAGTAATTTGAGAAGAAGAAGCTGTGCCATCCCAGGGTACTAGCTTTGTTGTAGGGAGTGGTGTTTGTGGTACTCGGGTAATGACAATCTTGAATCGGCTTGCAAGACTTTGAATATAGTCGTCCTGAATTAACCAGAGCTTCCTTCTGAGCCTGTCCCGGATGATTCGTACACCTAGGAAGTGCGTAGCTTCGCCAAGCTGTCGTATTTGATATCTCGAAAGCAGCTGTTTCTCGAATTCGTCGACCTTGGACTGATTTTCCTTGGGATAAGCAATGATTATGTCATCCACGTACAGTATAAGGGTAAGCCAGCTATTTGAGAAGAGGCAATGGACTCCAGGGACTGGGTAGAGGTCAAACTCAGCGAGAGTCTTGACAATATCATCATACCAGAGACGGGCTGATTCTTTGAGGCCATACAAAGCCATGATTACTTCCCATTCCAACCCACTTTGCTCGTATCCCTCAGGACACTTACATCTGATTGGTTGTTTTAATCTGGCATTAACGTAGGCGTTGATTACGTCGTATGATCGGGTTTCTAAGTCGTAGGCTGCAATAATGGCTGTTGTTGCACGGAACGTTTGTGCAGCTAAAGTGGCAGCGTAGGTCTCCTGGTCTGTCCATTGAAGGTCTCCTCTTGCACAAATACGAGCTTTGAACTTGAGAATATACCCATTCTCGTCAAACTTGTATGCCCAGACCCACATCAAAGGAAGAGAGTTGTTATTGTCTAGTTGTGGAACAAGGTTGAAGGTGTTTTTTGACTTTAGAGTGTTAATCTCCTGGTCACATGCTTTTTGTAAGTTGTCTTTAAAAGGGTGGCGTAGCATCTCTCTATATGTCTTTGGAGGTGGCGGCATCTGGTCTCGATGTAGGCGAGTTGTTGGTTTAGTTTTTAGTGCAGTGGAAAAGGCTGAGTGATAAGAGCTATATGGACTCCATTGAGTAGCCAGTGCTGTACGTGTAGTACGTGATGTGCCTGCTGGAATGATGTTTTCTGAATCTACACCAGCGTATATCTCATTACGTCGAGTGGCATGGTTGCCAGGGTTGCCAGGAGCAAGTGGAAGTTGATTGTCGATATCATCATCTGACAGATCAGAGAGCTCAGAACTTTCAAGTGTTGCTGGTGAAGCTGGTAGGCTAATATTGTGTGGGGTTGGACTGCTGGCTTCTGGGGTAATTTGGGGTGAAAGCAGCTGGGTTGGTTCCTCTACATTAGTCTCTTTCTGGGGTACTGTAGTAGTTGCTTCAAGTACAGCCGCTTCTTCAATGCTCCTATACCTACTCCTTTGCTCTAAAGTAGCTGGTATTTCAAGTCTTTCAACCAGGTCTTCTGTTGTCTCGCGTAGTATGTCTTGTAATTCAGTATTACTAGGGTCGTAGAAGGAGGTTCGGTCGAATGTGACGTCTCTAGTTAGAATAACCTTGTTCTTTGAGGGTATCCAGACCTTGAAGATGTTTGTTGATTCGTAGCCTACAAAGTAGCCTACTTGAGCTCTAGGGTTGAGTTTCTGCTTCCTCGGGATGTGTTTCTCAAGTGCGTAAGCTTTGCAGAGGAATGGATACAAGTGAGCGTATCGAGGTTTGCTTTTAAAGACGTATTCCCATGGGGTCCTCCAGCCTAGCTTCTCAAGTGGTGTACGGTTGAGTATTTGAGCAGTATAATCACAAGCTAAGTTCCAAATGTTGTGTGGACCGCCTCCGTGGATGCGAATACACCTTGCTTTTGTAGCAATAGATCGTCCTGCTCGTTCTGAGTCGCCGTTTTGTGCTTGGGTGTCAGGAGCTGAGCGTTCGACTCTCATGCCTTCCTTTTTGAGGTACCCGTCAAAGTCAGAAGCTAGCGTCTTCTCGCCATCTGTGTGAATAACCCGTACTATAAAGCCAAGTTGTACTTTGATCATCTTAACAACATCTTGGACTATTTGAGTACTCTCAGTCTTGCTCTTGTGGCAGACTACGATGTGGAATCCTGAAAGCAAGCAGTGGAAGTGACTCAATTGGTTCATGCCATTGTACGACTTCTCCAAAGGGATCAGGTCGTATAACAGGTGATCAAACGGTCCAATTGGGTTGAACTCGCGTTCTGTACGGCGTGAGATGATTTGCGTAGCCTTGGAAATACTACAAGTCTCGCACTGTATTGTTGTAGGGCAAGGCACGCTTGAGTCAACCGTAATATCAGCTCCTGCAGCTTCAACCTTAGAGATGGCCTTTGTGCCTGCATGGCCAAGTGTTATATGAAGGTCTCGTTCAGTGATTGTAAGGTGACGAGGTTGAGCTGAGTTTTGGAATCCTTTTGTGGCAAGTGATTTGTGTGCTTCTGGCTGTATGTACTGAGAAGTGGTAGTAAATACCCATTTGCTGTCATGTGGAGTAAGGTAGCAAAAGATGCTTCCATCCTGTTGTTCCATTTGACTTGGAGTTCTTGAGTTCCAGTGGACTTCTTTTACTCGAAGAATGTCAAGTGACACTAGGTTGGTCATAAATCCAGGGGCAAGGGCAACGTTCGTAAGGTTGATGAATTGCCTTCCTACGGGTGTGTTGATCCAGACTTTGGCAGTGCCAAAAGCTTCAATGTTGTAGCGCTCTTTTCCAGCTAACAGCTTGTCGTCTGGACCAGCATCCCGGGTCTTTACCCAAGAGTCGCGTGTAGGTTCGTTGCAAACATGGATATCAGAGCCTCCATCAAGGATCCAGCAATTTTACAGCGAGTTATCCCTATTCTGGTCTGCTGACGTGCTAAAACTGGACTTATATGAAGTGGCGAAGTCGCCGTGAGCTTTTGTATTAACAGCTCCTTTTGGAATAGGTGCGTCAGAGTCGTACTCAAAGTTCCTTTTCAGGTGCGCTTTTGTCCTCGTTCGTTGTGGATTATTGAGAGACTCGTTGATCTTGACAAAGATGTCGTATTTTCCAGTCCAGGTTTGTGTCCTAATCTTCTTGTTGATGTAAAAACAGTCTCTGAACCAGTGCTTTCCTTCTCCACAGTAGCATTCGTACGGACAGGCTTGTGATGGTGTTGTAAGTGCTCTTCCTTTAAAGGATTGCTGTCGTGGCTCTTGCTGTTCTGTGGTTGAAAAAGAAGCGTGTGTAGAATTGAGTCCCTTGAGAGAGTCTTGCTTACGAACGTGGTTGCGGAATCGCTCAATTAGGCAGTATAATTCTGGTATTTTACCGCCGTCTAATTCTTTTTGTTCAATGTTGACTTCAAGTGCTGTAACATATGAATCGTCGATAGCGCGGATTGCTTGAATAAAGTCCTTTTGAGCTCTGTCGCCACTCACTTCTGGAAGGTCAAGAGCCCTGGCTTCAGCATATACAGCTTCCCACTGGGACAGTATATCTTCAGGTTTCTGGCTTTTGTTCCACTGTTTGAGCTTGGCGTAGTCTCTAATAACTTCA